TATCAGCGTGTATCCTTTTTTTTTCAGGCCGCGTCAAAAGTTTGCCAAAGAAGGAGAAGAACAAGAAGATAGGAAAATACACACACGCACACACGCGCACACAATCACTAGCAGTTTGTTTGCTGCACGCACCTTTTCGCCTTAATTTTTCGTTGTTGCTGCTGGTTTTTTGTTTCCTTTCTTCTTCTACATTCGTTTGGTGTGTGAACACATTGTTCACACGAAGCGCTGACAAAAAACCATTCCACATTCGCTTCGGTTAAGGTAAGAAGTATGATGCGTACAGGGTAATGTCCTGGAATGTGTGTGTGTGTGTGTATGGGAGAGAGAGAGAGAGAGAGAGAAAGTGTGTACAAGTAGCGCTACCGCTTCGTTTCGGCTGTTAACCGTCATTTTATTTATGACATTTTGCACGAAACTTTATTATTGGTAGAGCATTTGTAGCTTAACGTCAATGTCGGATGGAAACCACAGAGCCGAGAAACGAGCAGCAGCAGCAACAACAACTACGCAATTTGAGTGAAAGCTTCGTGCAAAATTTTCTTCGATTTGCATATTACGATACACGCAGAGTGATAGAGAGAAGTGAGAGTGAACGAGCTCACCGGATCCGTTCTCGATTTTATCGCATCGTATTTATTTTCTTAGAACGATGATGTCTTCTGACGAGAAAACAAGAGAGAGAGAGAGAGAGAGAGAGAGAGAGAGAGAGAGAAAGATGGTTGAAAGTTTTTCAAGCTTTTATGTATGGTGCTTATTGCGACAACAAAACTGAAGAACAATTTTTTGTGAAACGCAACACTGCTGACTGACTGACTGCCTGCCTGGTTGAGAGGGACAGAAATAAGAAAAGCAACGAGGAAGCAATGAGAGAGAAAGAGAGTGACAGACTGAAAAGGGAATGAAAAAAGGAAAATGAAGATAATAACAAAACCATTTATTCAATTCTTACGAACAACATACACACACACACACACACAAACATATGGGTTTCGCTTCGCTTTTTTGTCGTTCGACTCTTTCGCAGCAAGCATTTGCTTCTCTTTTTAACGATTTTTTTTTTATATTTTCTTTGACAACATGTGTGTTCGACGAACATTATTTTTGTTGCATTAAAGGTTTTTCTTCGTTTTTCTTTTTCATTCCGTTGTGTGCGATTTTTGTTGTTGTTCTTATACATATACTCAAATATAGCATTTACGTGGTTGTTTTCTCTACACTTTGTGCGAAATGAATCCAATGATCTTTGGATAGTTACACAGCAGTGTCTTGATGCTGGTTCATCGTGACGATGCTGCTTCTGCTTCTGTTGCTGCTGCTACTGCTGTTACGTTCATTACTTTGACATTTGTGCGATATAAGCAAATGATCCTATTTTATGTACATGTCATTTGCTTTCTATGCACATAAAAATTTCATTCTCTTGTTGCTTTTTTTCCATTTCTCTCTCTTTCTCTCTCACTCTCGGAACGCATTTTCAGAATTCGTATAATCTATCTCTATCCATATATATATATTTTTTTGTTGTTTTCTTCCACTGCTCGACATTCCCATTTGCAGTGACAAAAACACACAGACACATACACACAATTCCGACAAAAAATGGAACGTGAACGAAAGAAATGAGAAAAAATGGTGGAAAAAAAGAGAAAATTATTATTATGTATTTATGCACAAAAGTAGCTTAGGAATGCTTGAAATGCTTGTAAGTTGTAGTAAAAGCATTTTCATGTGGAATGGAAAATCCGATTGTATGTTTTGGCTGGATGGCGCTGGTATGGTTGACGGGGCCTAGAGGTTCATATGCGCATATCGTTACACTTAAGTGTGACACACACCATATGGATGAATGCCTCTCTCTCTCACATTCTCAGACCCTTTTATTTTTATTGTTCTCGTTTTAAACCATTCGATCAATTTCATTTTCGGACAATCCGAAATGGAACACAATCGACCCATTCGAAATCAAATGTGTATATGTGTGTGCTGTCATCTTTTCGACCGGTCAGAAGATATTGCCATGCGTACGCTTAACGGGTGATTGAATTGATTTCATGAATTACACAAAATAAATCACCCAAAATCTGTTTAACCGCGGCCGCAAATATGGCATGGGATGCGAGAGAGAGAGAAAGAGAGAGAGAGAGAGAGAGAGAGAGAGAGAGAGAGAGAGAGAGAGAAAGAACGAAGAAAAAGACCCTCACCATCGCATGGCTGAGGGGATGCTTTTGATTGTATGCTGTCGTTTTAATGAGTGTTGCTCTTCTGGCGGCTGCTTTTTGTCGTCCTACCCGCATCACGAAACATCAAAGCCCCGTCATTGTTTACACCTGAAGTGTATGACAGTATGACGAGGGGAGAGCAGCAGCAGCAGCAGCAGCAGCAGCAGCATCAGCATTTTTTCCGTCTCTTCCGAAATTCAGATTATATATGACCTGGCCACTCTAGCTAACAACACACATCACAATAAGTCGCTTTGAATGCGGTTGTGTGTGCTTACATATGAAGCGATGCCATGTGTGAGTCTTCTGATCATGAGTCTTTTTCGATCGAATAAACAAACAGAAAAAGAATCAATCCAAATATTGGGATAGAACAACGTAACAACGGAAATTTAATCGAAAAATGTTCATCATGCTTAAATAGCTATTGAGGCACAGTGTCAATAAAAATTGTTGCTTTCCTCCTTTCTTTACGTTGCTCTAGTAGCTGGCTCGTCTGTTCGGTTTCATTCGTTTGCCTTCGCCGTTCAAAATGCGCTTCTCATCATGTTGCGTTGTGCAATTTTAACATCCAAACACCACCATCAAACCACCTGATTCCATCCCGCAAAATATGGCAAACATTTTTGTTTTCTTTTCAATTTTATTGAAATGAATTTACCAAATAAATCTTATTTTGGGGCAATGGAGCAGAAATGTGAGTGATTTGTGAGACGGAGGGTAAGAATAAACATAAAAAAGCGGCAGCAAACGAACGAACGGTACAATCGCCGCACATATACTCCCTCACAAGCGTGAGCCGAACTGAACGCGCGTGTAGAGAAAAAGTCAACGGAAAAAAGGAACGAACGAAAGAAGAAAATAAAGAACGAGAGTGAGATTTCAAGTCATTCATCCATCGGTCTGTGTGGTGTGGTAAGCGTATCGCAACCGAAACGTGATAGGAAATGTGAAATGTAAGTGGCAACACACGCTGGAGAGTCTTCTAGCTATCATCATCATCATTGTTGAGCATCGATTCGAACGGTCAGAGAAAAATTTCAATTAAAATTGCTGCTCCACCGTGCTCGAGAAAGAAAGAGAGAGAGAGAGAGCGAGCAAGCATTGATTGAACGCGGAAAAGTAATACTCAGAGAAAATGGTTTGGGAACCATTTCGGGTGAGCATTCTGGACGCAGAGAGTGACTAAACGGATATTGTAGAGATGATTTCTTTCTTTCTTTGTATTTTTCTCCTTTTTCGGAAGAATAGAGGGAACACATTCACAAAAAAGGGATGACTGACAAAAGAAGTAGAAAATGATTTGCCACATTGTTCAATATTTCAGTTCGTTTTGATCGCTTTGTGCCGAAATATTTAATCAGCTCATTTGCCACGTTACATTAAATAGTAGGAGAGAGAGAGAGAGAGAGAGAGAAAGAGTAAGAGCGTGCCATTTACCTAGGGCATGATCCATTTTGGCAATTTCGATGAGAGAATGAACGATTTTAGTCATTTCGATGATGACGAATAATTTGAATGCACGATTGGTCCGAACTTTTTTTCCTTCTTCCCTCTCTTTTGGTTGCATATGGACTACAATTTGCAATCAGTTCAGTGTTTGCGAGCAAATACATACTAACCGAAGAACATACAGCAGCCGTAACAGCATCAACACGCATCGATACACAATCACAAATTAAAGCTAAATGGTACAATCAGTAGTCATCACTTGTCGTCGCATATTTTCGGTTCGGTCGTGTGTGCACACAACGCACTCTCGGCCAACATGTGCTCCTTTTTTTAAATTCTTGTTGTCGTACACGTACACATACACATACACGCAGCGTGCGATTGGCAGAGTGAGTTTTTCGCCAGTTCAAATTCGGAGTGAATGTTTGCGTTTGTGCATAAATCAGACAATTCACACCGAATAAGTGGATCAGTCGGTAATAGCATTGTTGTATTTGGTAGACAGAATGCTTGCTTCGCTCTTGTTTTTTTTTCTCTAGCTCGCTTGCTCTCTTCCTCTTGTGATGCGTGCTCATCGCACTCAAAACGTTAAAGAAAGACACGAATGTGTATCATCATCAGCATCTCCTTTGGAAACGACAACGAACGACACAAACGCACACACACACACACACACACACATATATATATATATATATCCGAGCATATAGAAAAAAAAAGAAAAGAAATGGGAAAAATTATGAAAAAAAGGCAAATAAATGAAAGGAAAAACGAAGCACCAACAACAAAACCCAACATATCCAATGCGAATTGGTTTGAATGTGTGTATTTGTTTGTGGCCAATGTTGAAGTGTATGGGTGGAATAGTGATGGTTGAAAATAATCAATGCTGCCGAAATAAAATTGCTTTTCTACAATGTTCGGCCATCCCTAGTACACCATCATCATTCCTCTGCGCTGCGAGTGATGTGTGTGGTGCTGTTACTACTATTGCTGCTGGTGGTAACGCGACTGCTACAGCTACTGCTATTGCTTCGATTCACCCGGAGACATTTTCGAGAGTATATCGAAATAATATGGGGTGGCTTTCATCATTTTCATGTGTTTGCTTGATGCTGCTATTTTGCTATATATTTGTTTCGTCTGTTTAAAACGTGGGACCGTTTCCATTGTGGTTCCCCATATCATTTTCCCTCCGTTTATACAGAGTATTGTGTGTGTGTTGGCTACTGCTGCCGCTTCTGCCGCTGCTGTTGCTGTTGCTGTCTCTCTGTTGCTTCACCCAATGTGTTTCGATTGGCGCGCGTTTTGCTACTGTTGCAATTCGTTGTCGTGCGTTGGTACGGTGTGCGAAAGCATTGTTTTCGTTTGCTATCATTCGCTTTCAGCTACGTATATTTCGGTCGTATTGTAAAAAAAAGAAAGAAGAGAGACTGTGAGCGATTTGCCACTGGTGCTACTGATGTTGCCTGCCAGCACAATTCTCTTCTCGCACACCGAGAGCATCGCGTCGAGCATCTGATTATGGAAATCAAAATCAAATTGGATTTCAGTTGCTCAAGAACCACCAAAAGTGTTAGAAGTGTATAACCCGGATCTGTGTGTAGCAGCAGCGCAGCAAAATATACATAGTTTGTTTTTTTTTTCGTTATTTCAGACAGAACAGAACGTGTAAACTCGCTGTACGTACCAAAAAAATAATAATAATAATAAAATATCAACAACAAAATAAAAACAAAAACACATTGTAAATTTGTAAATGAAACATGTGGGTTGTTCCGTATATTCAAGACAACGTTTTGCGTTTAAGTTTTTTTTTTTGAATTTTTTCTGTTTTTTTCTGTTGCTAAATTTTTAGCTAAAAAATTGTTGTTCCTTTTTAACGACAAAAACAAATCAGCAGCAAATTCGAAATTTGAAAAGAAAAAACAAAGAAAGAAAGAGAAGAGACCAAGAAAAATAAAACGAAAAAAGACAAACGGAATGAATTTCGAAAAACCAAAGAATAAACAAAATTATTCGATACATTTATTGTGGGTAGAAAAGGTCATCAGGCCAGGCCATCTGCATCAATCGAATATATTGCACATATATGTATCGTTTCAAGTCGTGCAACCAAGCAACAGCGCGCTTTTGTTTTCGTTTTCTCGTTTCGAATTGTTTATTTTTGTTTTTGTTTTTGTGGTGGCATTCAGAATCTTGTTGTGTTTTTTTGTTTGTTTTTCGTCGTGTCGTTCCACACAAATTGTTCTCCCGATCATCAACATCATCAAAATAATCGCGACGCGAGCGGAAAATAAAATGCGAAAAAGGAACTAGGAAGAAAGGACCAAACAAAGAAACAAATAGAACAAAAAAAAAATATGAAACAGAAAGCTTTTTCGATTTCTAATTGCATTTGGAGTGTGTTTGTGTTATGTGTGCGTGTAGGTGCGTATGTGCGTATGTGCGTATGTGCGAGTGTCTTATTTTTTCGGTGTGAAAAAAAATTGGTTAGTGCCTGGGTTTTCTGTTCTCTCTCCCACACACACACACACACACAAACTCATCCACATTTTGATTTAGTCTTTTGTTTTGGAGCGCGCGCCAAATCGAATTAAATTCACAACCAAAAGCAAGCAGTCAAAACATTCAACGACACCGAGTAAAAACACAAGCGCAGATAAAACGCTCAACTTTGAATTTCATTTCGAAAATGTATACGTACTCTTCTTGGGTTTATTCTAATTTTTTAATTCTTTTTGGAACCAAAGTCTAATTTCTATTTAAATGATGCTTTTGTACTACGAGCGTGTGCACGCGCGCCAGCGACACACAATATTACAACTAATTGCAATTACAACAGTTAAACTGTTTAATGGGATTTAATTAGTGCAAACGAAACAAACGCAGCCAATTGAATTTGGTTTATTTACAAGTGTTTGTGTGTATGAGAGAGAGAGAGAGAGAGAGTGAGAGCGAACACAAGCGATAAAGAGCAAAACAAAACGAAACGAAACGAAAATGAATAAGACCAAATTCGGAAAGAAAACGAAAGCGAAAGACACAGAAAAAGCCATTCCGGAGAAATGTAAATGATTCGAGACTTATCTATGCTTGAAATTGAAGTCTTATCGCAAAATTGCGCAAAAGTATGCACGAAGAGACTGATAAAAAACAGTACATTGATTATCAGACAGTCAAAATGTGCCCTCAGGCAAAAAAAAGCATCGACAAACCAAGCGCATTCTTCTACACTTTTTTACTTATTCGCTCTTTGTCGTTACTGTTTTAGCGATAGAAAAAACGAGTCACTCGCAAAAATTACTCTTACTTTATCAAAATCAGCAGCAGCAGTGGCGGCGGCAGCGGCAGCAAAAGGAAATATCCTTCGGAAAGAGTGAAACTGCCTTTAAAAAAAAATTATCGCTTCTTCATTTTATTTCGATGCTGCGGAATGGTTGCTATTGTTGGAAAGGAAGTACAATTGCCTGTTCCGAATGAGTTCGAAAGCACATGAATACATTTGAGGGAGAAGAAGGTTTTGGGTGCATGTGTCTGTGAATGTGAATATTAAATATAAAAAAAATCGAACGGAATCATAATGATGTACACACACACACACACACACACACACTTCAAGTGAGGGAACATAGAGAAGAAGAGTCAGTGCTATGGGAAGAGTAAAAAGGAGACACACTAACTGTGACTGGAGAATAAGTGAGAGAAGAGACGGTTTGGAAGTTTTGATGGGGACCCACAAGGAAAATAAGCAAGGGGAGAGTAAAAACGATAAATACTAAAAAGATATCATCGCTCGCACGGATACATATGTTATAGACGTTGACACATTGATCGTGTTATCAAATCAAGAGAGAGAGAGAGCTAGAGAGGGAAGCCCTTTGATAGATAACTGGCATAGTTGTAGTTGCCATGCTGTTGCGGATGTATCAAACATAACACGACACGTTCAATTCCATATTAACTGATAACATGATTGACGAGATGATGCCGAAAGAACATCATAAAATTGGTAGAGAGCAAGCGACAACAGACAAAACTCACGCTACAACATCAACACAGTAGCACACAATAACAAACAGAGCAGAGCGCAGCTGACAAATGATGAACAAAAATGAACACACACACACACACACAAAAAAAATGTTTTTTTTTTCTCTCTCTTTCTTCTGTTGTACACACAGCCTAGCACACAGCTCAAGCTGATTGTTAGTTTTGTGGTCGAAAATCATCGTTGCTGGTTCCATGTTTTGTTGTTATAAACACACGAGCGTGTGTTTGTGACACTCGATGAGCTGGATGAGAAAACCCAAACGTTATCAATTTACGAAAACAATGCGAGAGCGAAGGGAATTAATGAAATCCAAACGAAAAACATAACCAAAACTAAGCCAAATGACACACATGAATATACGGAGAGCTCCAGTTATCAATGCACTCATGTGCGAAATGATCTCTTTCTCTGTGTTGCTCGCTCTACTCTCTCTCTCTCTCTCTCTCTCTCTCTCTCTCTCTCTCTCTCTCTCTTTCTCTGTGTGTGTTTATACGGATGGCGCGAGCGATGTGACAGCATGCGATTTCAACTGGATGATAAACTCTGGCCGAACGCACAAACACACAAACCAAAATGAGACATACAGATTTAAAACACACACAGAGAGAGAGAGAGACACACACCTTATCCATATGGCTGTGTATGTAACGAGTTCCAACTAATGACTCTAATGACCAAACGTGGATGGAAATATTATCTCCAATTCATCGTTTATCGTAATCTAAAAACGCATATCAACCGTAATTTAACAACGAAATGACAAGCAACACCAGTAGCAGCCGACCACAAATTCAGTACATCGCCGCCGTCATCATCATATGTATCGATATATATCTATGTGAACGCGTAATCAACCGGACATCTCTAGTTAAGCGATCATAACACCATCAAAATGGTGTTTTCAAATATATATATATATATATATATATATATATATATATATATATATTAATGAACTATCCGTGGAATTAGACCAAATATTTTTCGGCCCCATATGCATTACATGGGACTCTGGCACGCCCGTTCCAGATTATCATCATCTACTAAAATCTCGATGGTGATTCCCGAAAATGAACATGCCGAGACACAATCATCACATTCCAAAACTATGCACATACACTTGAAGCCCATAACGCTATGTGGTCATTATGCACTCGATCTCTCTTTCTCGCTCGTTCGTTCGTTCGTTCGTTTGCTTGCTCTCGCTCTCTTTCTTATCCACTTTGTTATCGCAACGACCATCTGAACAATGGCCAACGCCAAACAATCGTGAACCGCATTCAACTGCCGCGATTCAATTCCGTCGCATTGTCTGCCAAACTAAAATCTAATTCGCTTTATATCTTATCCACTTTCATCAATGAGTGTATAAACGTGTGTGTCTTTGGATTACGGAATGACTCAGAGGCAAAATGCGAACATTTTTTTTTTTTGCTCGAGGTCAAACAGATGAGCTTTTTCACACACACTCACTCACACTTTTTTCTCTTCGCTCCCTTGTCGTACAAAGATGGGTCTCTCACGACGCGCGAACGTGCGCGCACCCACATCACCTAATGGCAATTCAAATTCGTTTTTACGATGAACATTGAATTCCTTTTTTGCTCCCACCGCTTCTTTCTGCGAATCGCATTTACAACCATTAAATGCCGTCTTTTCTTTTAACAAGAAAGAAAGAGCCATTCTTTTGGAATTCGTCTCTTTATTCATAAATTCCTTATATTCATGACAAATATCGATTATCTGCTAGTTGAAGAAGGGAATTTTCACGTTTTCGTCCTTAGCCTGTCTTCAGAAATTGTAACACCGTATCGATTTCGGGTGAGCATGTTGTTATCGAATGACAGAGCTGTAGCAGCAGCAAAACGACGGTTTTTTTTCTGCTGAAAATTCCAAATTCAGCTTTTCATATTGACTTTCATCTCGATTCAATTCAAACATCGCAGTCACCTAGACACGATTAAATGTTCCTACATTTTGACGATGCTACGTGATGTGCTGGCAATTTTTCCTGGTCATTTAGAACCTTTTCAAATATTAGCTTGGCATGAGTATGCAAAAATTGTTGGTTTGCATAGAACAAAACCCCTAACCGCAGTGCGGTTACCGCACACCTTTTATTTTATCAGGAAAAAGAGACAGAAAAAACACATGAAACATCCAAGCATTTTCTAACACTCGACTTTTAAATTACATTTGCTACGTAGAAAATATGGCATAGAACAAGTCAAAATTGGTCGGAAAAGCACTTCTGAATTTAAACAGAAGTGCATAATACCACACTCGATTAACGGTTGGAACTAGATTGTCAATGTTACAACAGGTGAATTCCGAAAAGAATATTTCTCTCTGAAAAGTTAGGAAAAAAAACGATGGGTTTTTCACCGTCTTGAAAAGGCGTTAAATATTTGATGGTTTCGACTTTGTTTTTCAATTGGTGCTCTTAACCCAAATTCACTAACGAGTCGGTTTTTCTCGCTTCGCAATTTCGGGGAGGTGAAAAAAATTAGTCGTAAAATAAATGGTCGTAAATTGGTTTTGAGGATTGCCTCTACACTTACACACACACATACACACACCGTTAAACGTAAAGTAGCGTTGATTGCGATGGATGTTATTTACGATAATTAAAAGCATGAATTCAAAAGTGTCCATAAATTGTGCCTTAAATTCCTGGCGTGCAATTAGAGGTCGTTTAATCTGAATAGAGTGAAAATGTCGTGAATAACGTTGTTATTTGTATTTGGTTATGCAAGATGAAGATCTGAAGGCAGTGGGATGAGTTTGACTGCCAATCGACTCTGAAGAAATAATTGTTTGGTATTCAATATGATATATGTATATTATAAAATGATTGGTTTCGTTTGAAAATGTTTAAAGCTAAGTAAATCGCCCGAATACCGAATCGATTACCTCAATAAAAAAGAACGAATAAAACGAGAAGAAAAAAACACTTTACCATTTGATAAATGATTTATTTGTTCCTTATCAGCGAATCCAGTGAAGGATAATATTGAAAAATCTAGAAGATGAATGCACAGAAAAAAAAAAGGATATATCCCTTTGAAACCTTTTTTTTTTATCAATTCCAAGTGAAATGAGACAGAGATGAAGAAAAAAAAGGGGAAAAGACGTAGCCTTAAGCGAAAAAATATAATCGAAATAATTTTGCGTTTTAATTTCCTGTATGTAATTATTTCGAACGTTCAGTTGGATTTTTGGAAGTTGAAGGGAAACGTTCAATTCAAAAATGTATGTGGGATGTTAATTGAACGTTATCGTTCCACTTCTAAAAATTCAATTGAACGTTCGAAATAATTCCGCATGATTTTTACGGATTGTGTTCCAGAATACCGGCACGATAAACATATCCATTCCATCCCATACGATATAGACCACTTGTATGCTCTCGCTTTCTCTCATCCTCTTTCACCCTTTCTCTTTCTTCGCTCGCACACACACTCATTCGCTCTCACTCTTTGAGCTCCCTTCTCCGTCAGAATGTTGTGTTTGTATATTTCATCTGGAACCGTTGAGTCGAGCGCAGAGCCCACCACATACTGCAACAAGCGCAATAGGTTTTTCCCTGTGTGGTTGTGATAATGCAAGTAATACTCGAAAAACATTTCTAATCATTTTCCAAATGTAAATTTAATGACAACGCATAAACTGAACGCAAATGCGGGTAGATATTTGTTTCCCTCAGCATATGTTTCTCTGTGTCTTTCTCTCTCTCTCTCTCTCTCTCTCTCTCTCTCTCTCTCTCTCTCTCTTTCTCATATGCAATACAATTTTTGGGCTTTATAACAAATAAGCAAAACCGAAAAAACTAATACGTTGTCAATACTTTGACGACGACAAACTGCAGATGAATTGTTTTTAATATTCGCAATTTTGTTTCTTTTTTTCCCTTTCACGCGATCATCATCATCAGCTGGATCTAACACTTTGGCCAACTGGAGTTTCTATTCGTAGTATAATTGGTAGCGAAGCGAAACAAAGTTGAATTGCAAGGAGGAGGAGCTAACTTATAGAACGAAAAAAAAAACAAAACAAAAGAAATCACGACAATAAACGTCGACAACACCAACGAAACGCACAAATATCATATCGATATATTTTAGAGTTAACAAAACATATCCCCCATTTATTTGGATTCGGAGATTTGGCGGATTTTGAAGTTGTATTTTTTTTTCCTTCATTGTTCATCGCTCGAAGCTCCGAATTTCGGTTGAATCCCAGAATTATACAATCCCCCCGCTGCGTTGTGTTCTTGAGCATTACGAATAGACAGAAAGCTGAAAGTATATCACACGCGAGAGTGAGGCTTTGGAACGAAGCGAAAGAAGAAAGAAAAAGCGAAGCAAAGAAAACGGGAATATAAGTACTACGCACATAAGCACGCATGCGCACCACACAAATCATATAAAACGAGTACCGTACGTTTTAGGGCCAGAAAAGCAATAAAACACATTCGTTGTACTTCGAACAGAGTAATTCGGGAGGCAGTGAAAAGAGAGTGAGAGAGGAAAACTCGAACGCGCACCATCGCACTGACAAAGCTGCTGAGCCACCACGCACAATACACAACAGACGACGACAACAACGAACACAAGCGAGAGAGTGTAGCACGAATTATCTTTGATTTTGAAGAAAATCGAAACACGCTGCCGTACAACAGCCAAATAATACACAATAAACGAACTAAGTCAGAGCGAGAAACAGTAGCAGCAGCAGCAGCAGAAGTAATAAAACGCATTCCCATTTAAGCTCAATAATGACAGAGGGTGCGACATCTGTATCATGTCTGGATGAGACAATACATCATAAATCATCATTAGCGCCGGATGAATCAATTGAATTGCCGGCATTACGGAACCCTTCAGATGCTCACACTCAGGAAAAGCAACAAGATAAGGTAATTTTCATTATTTTGGATTTCAATTCATGTCACATTTATAACTTTATGCATAAACAGTGAGCAAGCAAGCTTTGCTCTTTATCATAGCGACACAGTAAAACCAGCACACTTTGGTCTTTATATGTCGCATACCCGCCCTTCTCCTCCACCAGTCCCTCTTTGCCATCACATGGGCTCATTTCAATTTAAACTCGTTCGCCTCGTGTGTTATTCGATGCAGATCATCGACGCTTCACTATTTCCATCAGCCATTTCGAAGCCAGTCGTCACATATCATTCAGCATTCACTCAAATGTACAATTTGATATGATTTGATGCATATGCTGTGTCTTTTTCGCAAACAGTCGCATATTCATTCACTCAACGACATATAAGCCAAGCTCGCAAGCACACACCGAGATAAATTACACTTTAAATTGAATCGAACGAAAATAAACGACACCATGAACACCAAGCTTCATTTCCATTTTAGTCTACTTTGAATCATGCACACACACACATAACTCTCTCTCTCTCTCTCTCTCTCTCTCTCTCTCTCTTTCGACTCGACTCGACTCGAAAACACACAATCCAATGGCACACTCTTTACGAACAAATAAATGAACGACCGACCGAGACAGAACCTCTCGTACTCATTCATTTTCACACATCACACACTCACGAGCCGTTCAACAGATTTAATTTATCCCGTTTTACAACCTTCACTATGGCACAATTGCATTCGAACGAGATATGATGCCTCTGACGCTCCGCTCCACTTCAACTCCGTACGCCATTCGGCTCATGGCAATCCTATCGGGGCTCTATCTCTCTGTATGATTACTGCCATACGCGTTTTTATTACATTTTATTTGTTTCGGATGAACTTGCTTAAATGTAATTCATTGATAAATTATGTGGCCGGAGTGTGCAATTGACTATCATGAACCGCGCATTAATCACACACAAAAGGCATTTTGATTGATTGCATTTAATTAGTATATTTTTGTTGTGTGCAGCGCATCGATTGCATCCATTATCGCACCTGCAACATTCAACCAAGCATATCTAGATCATTCATATTGATAATCTCTCTAGATATTTACATCGGAATGCGGTCACAATATTCCATTGTCCAAATTCATGTTCATTTTTTTTTCCATGTGCAAACATATAATTATGATGCGAGCGAGAGAACGAAAGACGGAAGGAGAGAGGGAGACGGGGCAAAAATGAATATTTTTCACCCCGACAAAAAAAGATGCCACAAACACTTTTATTACATTTTAAATTATGCAATAAAAATGTTAGTTATTTGACGTATAAATTTAGGTCCCGGATTATTCATATCCATTTTAAATACTTTAATTTGAACGTTGAATTCTTTAATTTTAAATTGAAAGGAATTTCATTGATATAAAATGCGTTTTTGGAATTACGATGGAATATACAATTTATTTCCCGCTTCCTCTCCCTTTGTCGCAAAAATCCGTGTTATGGCAAATAGTTTAAGCTCTTTTAAACCATTTGAATAGCAAGTTCTCAAGTTCTCAATTTAATTTTACAATCAACACTTATCCAAATACACAGCGAGAGAATCTCTCACATTGTTCATCTGTACAGACAATTTTCATTCATATCATTCGAAATATTATCATTTCATTCAGAATAATCCACCAATTTTTCTTGTTTCTTTTTATTTCTTCTCAAAACAATCCGTAGAAACAAAAGGTACAGCTGCCAGATCGAGGAACATGGTCGAGCAAACTAGATTTCATATTGTCAGTGGTCGGTTTGGCTATTGGTTTAGGCAATGTGTGGCGTTTTCCGTATCTATGCTATAAAAATGGTGGCGGTGCATTTTTAATTCCATATTTTCTAACGCTCATATTAGCCGGTATACCGATGTTTTTTATGGAATTGGCACTAGGGCAAATGTTAACGATAGGCGGTCTGGGTGTATTCAAAATTGCACCAATCTTCAAAGGTAACATACACACACACACACACACACACACACACACACACACTTTTTCCATTATTTGCATGCTTTTAACAGGTTGCCTGTATTTGGTGTTGTTGTTTTTTTTTTCAAAAACAAAATTATTCCGAAAAAATCCTCAAAGGTGTTCATTTTATGGGTTCTCAAGTCAGATTATAATGTGATATACTCATAAATGGTAAATGTTTTTTTTATTAATGAAATTTCTTTTGGGATACAATGATCATGTTTGGTATTATGAGATATAGTCATTAGACTTTACATTATATGATATTTCTTAATATATTCTTTGTGTTGATCAACACTTTTGGATTTGATTTGTGGAAAATCGTAAAGAACCACAACATGACGGGGTATATACTCATAATTATGAGTGAAGAAGAACAAAAAAAAAAAAATAACTGAACCAAGGCATCAATTGAATTCATTCTAATGATTTGGTATTTGTGTCACTTGTCTCGGATTGGTTATAATCGAATTGCCACAGAAAATCCATACAAATTTTCCCGTATATCGATCGATCATCATCGCTACAGGAAATGTGCATGTGAATATGGCATAAGGATTGAAAATTCAATTACGCCCGATTAATTGAATCATCTCAAACACAAATCTATATTGATGTGATACAGAAACAGAAACAGATGGCGAGAGAGATAGAAGGAAAGCATTGAGACGATGGGCAACAATAACCTATCTCCATCTCGTTGCATTGATAAACTTTATGCAAAACACATGTGTATTCATATTAACAACATGTAATCCGGAAATAATTGAAAAAGTAGTTTAATTAACTCATGATTAGGAGATTTACTAATGCAAAAGTTTTATTCAACATAAGAACATTTACATTTTTGACACACAATAGTTTCATATAGTTTTAAAGTTGTTCCGAGTTTTTCTTCAGAAAAAAAAAAAAGAATGATTCAACTCCATCAAAGCAAACATGCACACGAATTCTATTCGCACACATTTTTTGGCTTAAGTTTGGCAAATCTCTTTCAAAAGCTGCGCAACAAAGTATTTCAAAATATTGCAAAGTTCAACGAGAGAATGTGCATTTTTCACATTTTGCTAGCAAACAAAGAAAAAAAACTAAATGTATAGAGGCAACACAACATTCATTCACATTTTGGAAAAGCTAAACATTTCCCTTGTAGTTTGTTCATATTTTTCCGGTTGCAGAAGAAAGAAAATTCACAACAATTCACAATCCAAACCAAAGCAGTTGAAATATTTTCAGTTTAACAACAAGAATGTGGTAAAGCTGTAGGGAGATTTGTGGAAGAAAAATCACGGAGAAAAAAACCGATTCTTTTGTGTCCGATGAAGAAAAAAAAAACTAAAACACACAAAAAATGGTCTATGATAAAAAGTTTGCAAAACAAAATATTCGATTTGTGTGTGAGAGTTTTTATCCCTCATCAAGGGGCACCATGAAGCTACTAAGATAAACGTAATCATAATAATCGAAATACAGACAAAACTCGAGCCCAATATAAATTACGGTTAAAGTTTCAATGGGCAAAAAAGGCGATCGAGAGAGAGAGAGAAGAGAGAGAGAGAGAGAGAGAGAGAGAGAGAGAGAGAGAAGGAGGCAAAAAGTAATTTCAAAACACACACACAAAGCCCAGCTAAATATGTATATCACACAAAAAGCGTCGAGTTCAACAGGGCAAGAGAAAAAGTTTTCAATTTAATCGGATTTGGTGAAAATTAAGGATTCGTTGCATTTGCCGCACATGTATTGAAATGATTACCATGTTAAACATGTAGAGTTGAATCTCTCTCTCTCTCTTTTTCTCGAAGTTTCGCATTCAAAACGCGCATGTATAATTGAAAATTGCGTACGCGTAGTTCCAATCTATTGAATGCGATGTATGTGTGTGTGTGTGTGTGTGTTTTTCCCTTCTAATCGTTCGAAATAGGCATATTTTTCGATGAATGTGAAATGCATTTCATTGAGTTCGGAATGTAATTGAACAACTTTGTGTATTATTCACTTGTGGCACGTGTGAAATTTGCAATCGCACCAATGAATCCGATGAATAAAAAGTGAACTGAGGAAAGGGAACGAAAACCAGAGAATGAAGAGAATGAGTAAATCTGAAACCGGAAGAATGTTATAGCACCAGATTGAAATGTTGTTGTTGTTGTTGCTGTTGTCATAGTTAATATTGTACCATCTGACACGTTTGAATTGATTTTGCTCCTTTTTTTTCTATATATAAATATTTGTACGTGTATGAACGCATAGGAATCGGATACGCTGCCGCTGTTATGTCATGCTGGATGAACGTCTATTACATCGTTATTTTAGCTTGGGCAGTATTTTACTTCTTCATGTCGCTGCGTTCAGGTAAATTGACGAACATCATTTCAAATTAATGTCATGGTGTGCACGCGCGCATAAAATGTCAATGTACTGTCATGTGATCATGAAATATTGATGTTGATTCAATCAATCGTCTCTTCATTTTTATCGCCCACCTCAACTCCAACCCACCTCCTGATACAGATGTTCCATGGCGTACGTGCAATAATTTCTGGAACACAAAGACTTGCGTTAATCCATACGAACGTAAAGAATTGGTTTGCTGGAACAAAACAAGCATCAGTCAAACCGTGAAAATGTGTTCATTAGCCGGCTCAAATTACTCCACCAACGAATTAACCGATCCGGTCAAGGAATTCTGGGAGTAGGTCACATTTCACTCTATTTTTTTCACCTTTTTTTTCGCAGCCAAACAGCTAGTCATTTTTCTTTTTTCCACCTTTTTTTTTCTTACAAACAATTCAAAGACGCCGTGCATTGCAAATTTCGGACGGTATTGAAAGCGTTGGTTCGGTTCGTTGGGAATTGGCTGCCACACTGTTGGTTGTCTGGATCATGTGCTACTTTTGCATCTGGAAGGGTGTCAAGTGGACCGGCAAAGTCGTCTACTTTACCGCTTTGTTCCCATACTTTTTATTGACAATACTATTGATTCGTGGCATCACATTACCCGGTGCCATTGAAGGAATTAAGTTTTACGTTATACCGAATTTCGATAAATTAAAGGAATCAGAGGTACACAACCACATTATTTGCTTCGATTGGTTTTTTAATGATTTGCCGTAAATTTTATCCGATATTAGGTGTGGATTGATGCGGTTACACAAATTTTCTTCTCGTACGGTTTGGGTCTTGGTACATTAGTTGCTTTGGGCAGCTACAATAAATTCACCAACAACGTCTATAAGTATGTATTGTTGGAATGAATTCAATGTTTCGTAATCTCTTTGCCAACAAATGTGGTTTTCTATTGATTTCGTCTGTAGGGATGCGTTGATCGTGTGCACGGTGAACTCAAGCACAAGTATGTTTGCTGGTTTTGTGATTTTCTCCGTTGTCGGTTTCATGGCACACGAACAAGATCGACCGGTAGCCGAAGTGGCCGCATCAGGTCCTGGTCTTGCATTTCTAGCCTATCCATCGGCTGTTCTGCAACTGCCTGGTTCACCGTTGTGGGCATGCCTGTTCTTCTTTATGCTGCTGTTAATCGGTTTGGATTCACAGTTCTGTACTATGGAAGGTTTTATTACGGCCGTCATCGACGAATGGCCACGATTGCTGCGTCGTCGCAAGGAAATATTCATTGCGATCGTCTGTGGGCTTAGCTATTTGGTTGGATTAACCTGTATCACACAGGTGAGTACCACGTTTTATATAATCACACAATATTTTTGGGATTTTTGTGGAAATCGACTAATTTTTCCCGAATGTTTCTTTGGTCGTGCAACAGGGCGGAATGTATGTCTTCCAAATTTTGGACTCTTATGCGGTCAGCGGTTTTTGTTTGCTTTTCCTAATCTTTTTCGAATGCGTATCGATTTCGTGGGCATTCGGAGTCGATCGATTCTACGATGGTATCAAAGAAATGATTGGTTACTATCCAATGCGTTTCTGGAAATTCTGCTGGTGCTACACAACCCCATTCATCTGTTGTGTAAGTGATGTTTTTTTTTTATTTTATTTTTTTTGAAATTGTTTTTTCAATTTTTTTTATCAACTTTTCCAAATTCCTTTTTCTTCAACTTTTATTTAAACAAACCAATCGAAAAAAATTTGGTTCAGAAATTTAAAAAAATCTAAGATAATATCGTCCATAAGCGAAGCATTTGTTTCAACGAATCATTACAATAATCTTTCACTGTTTTTCAATCCGTTTTTAGTTCGTATTCTTCTTCAATATCGTCCAATGGACTCCGGTCAAATACTTAGGTTACGAATATCCGGCTTGGGCTCATGCATTCGGTTGGTTCACAGCTTTGTCATCGATGTTGTGCATACCCGGTTACATGATTTGGTTGTGGTATAAGACACCTGGAGACAGAGATACGGTAACTATCGAAAATTTTCTACTAAAAATCTTTGTTTTTTCCTACTGAAGTTGAAACAGCGCATCAAAAAAAAAAGACCGAAAATAATATGAAAAGTATCAAAATACGAAATTTCCTTACAACATTTTTAATGTTATTTTTATTATTTTTTTTTCCTCTTTCTCTTTCCTTTGCAAATCGTCAACAGAAAATTCGGCTTATCGTTAGAATTGATGATGATGTGAAAGCGTTGCGAGAGAAGATGGTCGCCGAACAACAAAAACTGAACGAAGTTTATCTGTAATCGTGCACGTACTTCGTTGAAAATCAAAAATGAACAACAAAAAAATGCAACAACAAAAAACAACATAAATCAAATCGATCGAATAATAATGAGACTAAAATGCTAATCAGCCCATTAGCTCATATCAACTATTTCTTCCATTTATCCAGATGAGAGCACAACAATAAGTCAACGACCAAAAAACTGAAGCAAATTTCAAAGCAACAATACAAAACAAAACAAAAACATATTTACAAACAAAACAAAGTATTTAGAGTTTAGTTTAGAGAAGAGAAGAGCGATTTGCTCTTGAACAAAAGACAAAAAAAAAATAATCCAAACAAAGAGCAGTTGAAGGACTAATAATAATAGATCAGACATTTTTCTTCGAACAACAACAAAAAAACACAGTCAGTACAATGTGTCATGCTGTTCCAAAAAAAAAAAAACTGGATATATACTGTTTGTGACAGCTATTTAATTTATTCAATTGAATCCCTTTCGTTGAAAGTGCTAATAATATTTATTTATTATTATTATTTTTTTGCTAGATTGTACGTTTTTATTTTTTTGGTTGTCGACGTTTTTCGAGTTGGTCGTTTTTTTCGACGACAAACTGATTCAAAAAAAAAAAAATGAAAATAGAAAAATGTAATAAAATGGATTTGTTCCATTTGTACAATTTACCTAACAAGGAAAACCAATGCTTCCAAATAAATATAACGAAACAAAAAAAATATTATAGAGAAACAAAATATTTAAAAAAAAATAACTAACAAAAAAAAAATCAAATCAATATTAATAATAAATTAATCTAATCGTAGAGAAGAAAAAAACAATTTACTTGACTAAATGCCGTTTTTATTGTTTTTTCTGTGTTTTTATTTTTGATTGTTAGAAATGAGACAAAAGAAAAATTAAACAAAATTTAAGACAAACCAAGCAAGTGAAACAAAGATTTAGCTTAATTCTCATCCTTCGGGAGCTTGTGTGCAATTTGACGAAACATACAAACTCATTATAATAATATTAAAAATAACAAAAAAAATCCAAACAATTCACATTCGCACAGATTTTGACAAGAAAAGCAAGAACAATAATTCACCCACAGCAACAACCAAAAAAAAAACAGCAAATAAATTAAAATCAAATATTTACCGATTTAGCCAAAATAAAGAAAAACCAAAATAAAAAAAATTCTATATATAAATATATATACATTTTAGAAAATATTTACCACAATAACGACTATTTGATTCAAGAAGAAAAAACCATTTAAGCTTTATCTACAAAACAACAACAACAAAAGGATGAAATTATTCGACCATAATTTATGTAGAACTTAATCGCTCCAAGATCAGATTCCATGCAACAACTAACCACCATTCAATAAATACTAAACGTCATTACGATTATTCTCACCATTTCATAATTCAGTACTTTAAAGAAAGAAAGAAAAACTCTTCTATTTAATTAAAACCAACCGAAAAAAAAAAATCTTCCGAATATGAATAAATAAATTAAAGAAAAACAAAAAAGTTACATAAATTTAAACGACGAAGTTAATTTTAATTGACAAGTAATTAAATAAACAATGAATGGAAAATTATATGAATAAACCAAAATAAAGAGGAATAAATAAAACTCATTTAATTGTAATCTGGAAAACTTCAAGCCAATCAATCAATGGCTGTTGTTTTATTTCATGTCCTGTGTGTGTGCTGTTTTATTTGTTTACACGCACGGCTAATGCAAAATGAACATTTTCCCCAAGGAGTTCGAATGAATGCACATTGTTATATCCATCTCTCTTTGAAGGTGAAAAAAAAAAACTTAGTTTTGCATTTTTCGTCTGCCATCCGGTTTGTATCACTGCGAACGAGAGTGCGATTGGGCACAATGCCAAGATTTTCCCTTAGAATTCCAAAAGCAATTCAAATCTTTCTAACAACTTGTTATGTATTCATTCACTGAATACTATTCACTGCTGCATCCGTTGTCTTGATGTTATTATGATTGCCTGTCTTCCTGTTTGCAATAATTCAATGACCAATTGTAACTGGTAATAGATCAATACGCTTTGTTGCTGATTTTTCTTCTTGGAAATTGCCATACAACTAAAATCGAAATTGGTAAAAAAAAACTCAATATCAACGGATCCGCATCGTACGGTGATATCGATTCCAGTGAAATTCAAAAGTATAAAGTTCATCTATGTTGATTGTAATTTCCCAGAATAAAGTTCAATAAAATGTAAAATGAGTCTAATTTTTTTTTTCAATAAAAAGGTCAACAAACAGAGGGGAAAACCAATATAAAAACCGATGGGTAATAAAATGAAAGTAGAAAAAACGCATCAACAGCTATATAAATTTCCACGTCAAACATTAATCAAAATTGCATATGATTAGTAGCGATCGACCAAGACGTTAAAATTGATTTTAAAAATTTCGCTTCTGTCTTTGTTCTATTTCTGACCATTAATATCGCTGCTGCTGCCGATGATGAGTGGGCATTTTATTTATTTTTTTATGTTTTACTTATCTTTAATGACCTCGATTGTAAGGGTTTACACTTTTAAAGAGTCAAATGAAACACATTCATATTTGCTGAAGGTTTACATAAAACTAAATTCATTTTATTCAAAGAAAGACATGTTTCGATTGTTTACTTTTGGTTGACTTTGCATTAAATTGAACTTTTGAACATTGTGAAATAATGATGAAAAAACCTGCTTACTGAAGCTAATGTTACTTTTGCTTGAATACTGTTTATTATTAATTTCTTTGTTCATTCCTGAACATTCTCCCGGGGCAAAAAAAATCTTTAAATAGAAGCTTTAAATCAAATTTACGTTAAAATTTTCAAGGAGAAAAAAAAAATTTGGAGAGAAAAATAATATTGTATGATTCATTTTTCCCACGGCATTCTGATTTCACTGGAATCGCTGCTCTCGTAGCGAATCCTTTTCATTGCGATTACGTTGCTTTGTCGTTTCTTCGGCATTGGTTTTGTGGTCCCAACGCCGACTTCTATCATTTGTACTTTTCGATGCTCCTTTTTCTTTTTTATGAATTTTGATCGTTTTTTCCATAAAAAGGCCAGAATGTGCAAGATTGTATTCCCGCACAGGCTGTACACCAAGTATATTTTTATGGTGCGTTGCGTTTCGGTTACCCTCTCGTCCACCACGCTGTATTGATGCTGACTGCTGGTTTTTAACTCGGCGATGGTTTTATGGATGGCTATGTCTTCGGTTGCTAGCTTGTCGTAATAATGCCCAGCCAGCCAAAAATCAGGGCTTCTCCGTGCGCGCTCCACAGTTGATCCAATTGGAGCCGCGTTTACTCCATTTTTTGTCATTGTGGCTAATGCAACGATCACTAGCAGCGAAATCAAAGTTTGGTTAACGGTTTTTGTTTTGATTTTTTCATTTTTTTCTTTTCCTTCGCTGATGGACGTTGTCGATGTTTGACTGCTACGGTCGATTGGTAACGGTGCCAATTTGGTTATTGGCCGTTTTAACGTGTTGTTGGCCGTTTTAACGGTGGCCACTCGCGTGAGTTCATCTTGTCCTTGATGAACCTCTAACACTCTGCCCATGGGCCATTTGCCCACAGGTGCTGAGTCACTTATCAGCACTAAGTCGTCTTTTTTTATTGCGTCGTTTGGCGTGTGCCATTTTGCTCTTTGTTGAATTGTGTGCAGATATTCATTCTGCCAGCGATGCCAGAACTGTCTCACCGTTTGCTGAACTTTTTTTCCAACGATCGAGACAATTTAACTTCATCTCATCAAAATTTTCGTTTGCAATTGCTGTCGTTTGTGTCGCAAGACATAGGTGTGAGTGGTCTTGAATTTTCCGCTGCTTCGATTTGAGCCAGTAATGTTGATAGCTCTTCAAAAGTGAATTTTTGCTCACCCAATGCCCTTTTCAAATGCGTTTTTATTGTTTTTACGCCCGCCTCTACAAGGCCGTTGAAATGAGGTGCCGCTGGTGGTGAAAACTTCCACATGATGCCTTGTGTCGTGAGCTCATTTGCTACCTCATCGTTGAACTCCTCTTTTTCAACGATTGTTAACTCGTGTAACAACCGATTCGCTGCAACAAAATTGGTTCCGTTATCGCTGTTTGTTGTTTTTATTTCACCTCTTCTCGCGATGAATCGTCGTAGAGCGGCAATAAACGCCTCTGCCGTCATGTCGCTCACTAGCTCGACGTGTATGGCTTCTGTTGCCATACACACAAAAATGCATATGTATGCTTTCACAATTTTTGCATTTCGAAGTTTCGATGTTTTTACGTATACCGCTCCCGTGAAATCAATCATAGTATTCGTGAACGGTTTATTCACGACTGTTGTCCTCGTCGTCGGCAAATTGCCCATCATTTGATGAGCTGTTTTTGGGCGAAATTTCCTGCAAATGACGCAGTTTTTGAGCTGCTTTTTTTTATCGTCGTTTGCCCATTGGTGATCCAAAATTTCTTACGAATCAACGCTTCTGTTAATTTGGGACCAGTATAAAAGTTTGTTTCATGCACATCACGAATTATTAATTTTGCAATTTCACTTTTTTTTGGAATTAGAATCGGATGACGCATTTCGAATGGAATGTCTTCGTTGGTGATTCTGCCGCCGACGCGTAATATGCGTTTTTCGTCGATGAATACGTTCAATTTTAATAACTCACTGGTTTTTTCGATTTTTTTTGCATTTTTCCAGGTCATTCACTTCACATTCGTAATATTCACTTTGCGCTATACGAACGATAAAATTCGTTGCTTTTTCTATTTCATTCGCAGTAATCGGAGCACCTTTGTTTTCGACTTTTATTTCTACGTTTTGGCATTTGATGTCTTTTTTCAGTGCCACTTTTGCTTTTAAATAGTCAACAAAACGAATGATATACGCAAACACTCTTTGCATTTTTTTTTCCATGACGATATGTTAGGCCAAATGATTTTTGAATCGTCAACAAATAACTTTTTTTTCATTTTTTCTTCACTCGTCACCACTAATGCATGAATTTTTTCTTCGTTAATTGCTTCGATATTGCCTTCCGATTGAACATCATAGTTCATTTTTCCATTTAAAAAATGTGGCCCGTGCCACCACAACGGATGATCGACTAATTCATCACCAAAAATCCCACGCGATGCGCAATCTGCTGGGTTTATTGCGCCCGGGATGTGGCACCATTGTGCATCTTTTAACTTGTTCACCTCTTTTATTCTTGACGCGACAAATTTTTTATATCGTAGTGGATCTGAACAAATCCACGCCAATGCGACCTTTGAATCGCTATAAAGAACAGTTTTTTTCAATGTTCATGCTCATTGCTTTTCGTACGGATTTCACCAATTTTACCAGCAAAACGGTTGCACATAACTCCAATTTCGGAATTGTTTGTTCAATCATTGGAGCATTTTTCGTTTTTGCTGCTACTAGCATTACGTTTACTTGTTGATTTTCGTTTACAAATCGTACATATACATTCGCAGAGAGTGCTTTTTTACAAGCGTCGCAGAAACCGTGCACCTCTACTTTTGTATTTACTGTAGCACCAAGCCACCGCTGCATTTTTATTGAGCTCAATGCACTCAATCGTGATTTAAACAACATCCAACGGTCGATGATTTCGATTGGCAATTTGTCATCCCAATCATACGATTTTTTATTTTCCTTTTTTAATTGCCACACATCTTGAAACAATATTTTTTGCTTTGACAATGACCGGAGCGATCCATCCAAGAGGATCATATTGCAATGACGCGATTTCAGAGGACAATTGTCGCTTCGTTTCTGGTTTTGATTTCAAATTAACAGTGATTTGAAAAATGAACTCATCGGTTTCAGGTTTCCACGGAATACCCAATGCTTTCACGAACGATTTATTTTGTTCTTCTTTGTCGCAACCTGGCACACATTTTAATAACTCCGTCGAATTGCTTACTAATTTGCGTAAATTGAAGCCAAATTCATCAAATGCCTTTTTCATTTCTCGATACGTGCACAATGCTTCTTCGACAGATTCTGCTCCGCCCGTGTAATCATCGACGTAAAAACATTTCATTATTGCTTTTGCTGCTCGTGGATATTTATTTTCGATTATTTTTGCAATTTCATGCAATGATCTTATGGCGAGAAATGACGAATTTTTTAATCCAAACGTAACTGTTGTCATTTTATAGCTTTTGATGCGCTCAGTGCCCGAATTACGCCACAAAATC